CCTCAGAAACTTTTTCAGTAAGTGGTGAGCTGTATTGGTTGTGTGGCGGCAATAGCCTCCGTCTGATCTCTGCCATTTCTGTTCAGGCTTTCTGTGCTTCTCACATGTATTTTATCATCAGCTACTGCACGAGATTTCACGGCTATCCAACCGAAAGCTGTTGAGATATTTCAGTTTGGATGAAGCTTGCTGATACCCATGATGCCACGTGAATTCAAAAAATAAGCTTTTTTTTTCACATCATTCCAGCTCATTTTATTTAGATGTTATGCACAAAGTCTTAGAAATATACTTCCTTGACTTTCATCTCTCTTGGCATTCTAACAAATGGCCATTACAGCTTCACAGAGCGGTTTCTTTAAAAATACACTTGTTGAGATGCGCGCAGATCTTCTCGGTTTTGAGGCTTCGGTTGTCTTTTGTTCTTCCATGATCATGTGAGTGAAATTCAATTTTCCACTGTACAATTTGATTTGGACAAATGTCTGATTCTGACTAAAGGGGCCATGTGACTAGACTCATGTCCAAAGGGCATCTCCCTGCACAGTTGACTTGTGTTCTCACTTATCAGATAAAAGAAAGAGGGACAAAAAAAAAAAACAAGCGAACACAAGCATGAATGCACCCATGCTTTCTGCTAGCCTGCACACACACACACTCACACATACAAAGCCAATGAAATCGGCAACTTCCTGGCCGAGCCAAGTTTTATGTGTGTAGATTTATCAGTGGCCATTAAAATATATTTGATTTTCACCGGGATAGCTCTTCACCGCTGCCTCCTTCAATAGAAGTCCAACCCGCCTTTTACAACCACTTGCTTTAACCTTCTCTCCCGCTCATAAAACACCAGCAGCTTCTTCCACGTCTGCCAGATCCCCTCCTCTCCCTCCTCCATCTCTTCTTCTACTGTATCTCTCCATCTATTTTGACCTCTGCTATGATTCTATCTTTATAGGCAGTGTTTGTGTTTCTCCTCCTCTTGTCCTTGCCCTCGTCTTTCCCCCCTCACGCCTCTACTGCACAAATACCCTCTCCGCCCTGAGCTATTTTTCCTTAATTGTCTCCTTTTTCCCTCCTGAATGATCGATTCGTCAAATTTATCTGGCAGTTTGAGCATAAGGACAACTCTCAAGCTTCTACTTGAAACCACCCAGAGGTCTCAGAAGGTGAGCGTTCATAATGAGCTTTCATGGGGAGATTCAGAAAGAAAAAAAAAAAAAACTTCCTCACTTGCTTTCTGTAGAGGGCAACGGTCTACAATAACACCACACTCTGATGCTACGCTGTCATGTCTGCTCTTGTTTTTCATGATGATATAATCATTTAATTAGAATTCAAACTTTTTAATGCAATCTGTCGTCGTGTTTTTGCTGTTATTATGAACTGAAATCTCAGTAAAAGTCTCTTCTGAGGGACAAAGAACACATTTCTGGTGTCTTTTCTTACTTTTCTAATAATTTCTACAGTTTCCTAGAGAGCAAATGTATTCTGAGTTAGCATTCGTTGACATTTTATTTGGACAATGGTGGCGATTTTTCAATAACGTCGTAAAATGTAATTCATGCACTTCATTAGACTAATGGATTTGTATGAATCGCACACTAACATGACAACACATGTGTGAAAACCTTTTTTTTTTTTGTTTGTTTCTGTCCTTTTTAATGTTTTTTAGCTGACTCATTTTACAACATAAATCCTGTGGAAAAACATCTAAAATATGCATTTAATGACAACAAAGGTGACACCGTGCATCTCCCAAGAACAAAAAGTTCACAAAAAGCATGAAAACATCAAGAAAAATCAGCATACAGGAAAGAAAAAGAAAAAAAAAAAGGTCATTATGCTGGAACGTAACCCTGTTTGGCTGCTTAGCTCGCACATGAACAGGCAAATCAGATTTGATCGTACTCAAACATAATATTTCTCTATTAACATTACAAGAGAAAATGCTTTTAAGATAAGGATTAACCCGAGTAACAGAACCGCCGGCGAGCATTAATCTGCAACCTGACCTGTAAAAATGGATGCACTATTGTGAACAAAGCTTTTTTAGTTTTTTTTTTACGTAAGCCCACAAACTAATGTAGTATGAAATGTTCCTTTCCCCTCCGAGCAACACTGGGTTCGGATGCTAAGGGTACATTAGTAGACAAACACATTCTATTTCATACAAAAAAAAAAAAAAGAGGTGCTCTCGTCTCGCTAGCAAAACTTGTAGCAGAATCTGAAGTGCGACAGGTCTGCCATGCCTGTAATTACAGATCTTGCACAAAAAAAAAGTACTTTTCTTTTCCTTAATCTTGTAAGAGCATGATCTGTCTTTGGTTTTGTTGACGATGCCCTCTTCCTTGCTGTTTTTTTTTCTCTCTTGCGAGGCACAGAGATCCTTAATGGAAGAGAGACTCTGTGAATACTTAGTTTCTCTACAGCTATTATGCCCATGACTTGCAATAGAACGCTGAAAAACAGCCCCGGGAATTTTTTGTCCAGCATACAGCAGAGCACAGAGCCGGCATACAGGGTATTACAGACAAAGCATTTGGGCGCATGTCAATCTTTCATAATCCATGTAAAAACGCACTGTATGCGTCCTTCTATTTAACCAGATGTGCTGTGTTTAGTGGACATATATATATATAAACTACATTTCACTTTGTTCCTCCTTCTTACCGCCGCCTTGCCCTCCTTCTTCCTCAATCTCTGTATCGCTCGCCTTCTGTTTCCTCTGTTCTCTTATCTATTTTGTGACTTTCCCCAGGCTATTTCTTTGTCAACCCTCCTCACCCCATCCTTCTCCCTCTCTCTCTCTCGCTCTCTGGTTGACCTAGCACCAGTTTCATTTCCGCTCGTTCGTCCGTCTGTCTGCCATCTTTTTTTTTTTTTTTGGGGGGGTGGTAGTGGTGTTGGGGGGGATAGGACTAATCTCTTTTTCAATCTCTCCCTCTCATATACAGTATGCTTGGAGAAGCTCCATGTGTGGGAATTAATGAAGGAACTGCATGGGTAAACATGCGGCAGGATGGAGACGGGTGAGTGCAAATATATGCATGAATTCAAAGGCGCGCTGACAGATGAGTTTGACTGCTGCCTGTGTATTGTCTACGCTCGTGTCGGTGCCGAGTCTTGTTAGTCAATTAGGCAACAAATTAGAGTCTTAGCTGAAAGACACGTTATTAATCAGCCGGAGACGTTGCACGATTAGTTACTCACACAAAAAGTTATTCATAAAAAGTCATCCGCAGATATAAGCTCTTCTCCATCACTCCCTTCCAACCCACATGCTCTTTTAGCTTATTGATTGTCCACACGCAGCTGAAAACAGTCGCTGTTACTACTTTTTACTCAGCAGGACGTACAGAAACAAAACAAAGAAAAAAAACGTGATCGAATTTGAGACCATAAATCAGAAAGACTTATCGTTGGATGCTTTGAGATAAAGGTAACTGAAATCTGTCCACACAAAACCATTTTCCAAACCATATTTTAACTTTTTCTAATAATTTCCTGCCTTCCAGGTGTAGACTGCACATAAACATGGACACATCATCCATTACATGTTTGGTTTCTGGCTGTAAACATGTTAATTTCTGCTATAAAGTTGAGCATTTTAACATGGGGGACGATGGGGATTGACTCACTTTTGGAGCAAGCCTCAAGTGGACATTCAAGGAACTGCAGTTGTTTTTTTTTTGCTTCTTTTTTTGTTGGCTGCATTTTTCTGGCTCCTGTTGGCCTCCAGGCTATGTATGTTAGTTCAGTATGAAAATAATCTGCCAATATTAGGCCTTTATTTTGCTTTTAAAATGTTCTGTCAACTTCACATAAGCATTCACTGCAGAAGCTGCAAGCAAAGACCATTTTTGCAAACTCTAGTTTTTGTGATGTAATAAAAGATATGATGGTAAAGACACAAAAGATGACCAGTCACAAAATCATCATTATATACTTATTTAATTGCGTGTCAGTGAATGGGTTGGATCAGCAGGATGTTAGTGAGCAGGCTGCATGAGGTTCCAAGAAAGGGGGTCTGAAGAAAACACGAAGTTCATTTAAGGGGACATGTTTTCATCCCTAGAAGGCTTCATGCTTTTTGTCCTTGGAGAGTTGGACTCAGCATTTCCTGTATGGTATGGAAAACTAATCAAGGGATTAAACTTTTTAAAATGAACTATAACCACCTGTGAAAGGGAATTCACAAGTTTTCTATTTATAATAAAAGCTCTTACATTTGTGCTTCTCCTCTAAGAAACTGGTCAAACTCTGTTATTCTCCATTTTATATACGATATTAAATTTACCAACAACCCAGCAAAGGCTGTTTGTGTTTTTCAAGTTGCAGTAATTTTCCCAACAGTTGCCTATTTACGCATCCATCTGGAGTAAAATTAGTATTCATTTGGAGTCGTGTTCGTGTCCAGTTCATTCCTCGTTGGCAATGTTTTAACGCAGGGAAATGTTTGGCTCTTTAACTCCTAAATGCTCCGCGGTGTTCACCGACTAGTTGTTGTTTTTTTTCTGCCTGTCGCTGTAACAATGACTTACAGTACGAGGGTGCTGAGCAAGCAACACAGCAGTAAAGTGACCCTGCAAGTAGTCATGTGACTGGTTAATCACATAAAATGTTTTATACAGCAGGTGCAAATGATAAAATGCATATATTCAACATTAAAACTTCACTCAATTAACAAAACTAGTATATTTCAGGTATTCTAGTTCTCAGTATCTTGATGGTTTTAATAATTCACTGAAACTTAGAAGTTAAAGTATATTTAAGTCAAATCTGTTTCGTTGTTCCTCAAAGTTCCTGTTTTCGAGCGTCACATTTTCTAATTCTTTCAAAGTGAACTAAACTTTTTGTGTTTACAGTCCACCGTGTCTGTTTATTAGAGAAAGACGTGTCGTGGAAAACAGTGGGAGCAAAAAAAAAACCAAACCAACCAAAAAAGCATATTAAAAAGCTGCGCATGTGGAGTTCAAGGAAGAGGTGAGTAATCTTACCATCGTCTCCTGATCCTGAGCCGGCATCTGCAAGGCAGAACAAACACAGTTATTAACCAGAGGCTCACACAGCCACAGACATTAGCTGAATAAGCGTGTGTCTGCATATGTAACTGTGTGTGTCTGGGCCAATTTGAATATCTGCTTGTGATTGTGTGTGCACAGGAGAAACACACACCGTCTGTGTGTGTGTGTGTGTTCCTGGATGTGTTTGAGCGATATGAGATTTCTCTAAAGATGGTGCGGAAAGTGATACTGAGAGTCAGACTTATGAAGGAAAAAAAGAACAGAAAGGAGGATGATAGTGAGATGGAGGACGCGTGGAGGCTTTGAACATCCTGCATCCTCTACATTCTGCAGCAGAACACTGATGATAAAAAAAACCCTCCGACTGTGGACCTTGCAGTGGGACGGCACAGTTGCAAATGTGTTTGTGTGTCAGCGAATCCTTCTCCATGGCTTTCCCTCTGAATCTATGTAAAGCTCCCTCAAACACACTGAGCTTACTGAACTGTTCAACAATACAGCTGTGAAAGGGATACTCATGAGCACTTGGAAGCTCAGTGTAACTTGAGCTGCCGCATAAAGTGATCTGCTAAAATGCACAGAGCAAGAGACCAGACGCATGCGGGTCCTCGGAGGACTGGAGGGGATAATGCCTCAGCTCCATATGAATACCCGTGTGAGAAGGGTTTATAAGAAGGCTTTAAAGTGGGGGCTGGAACACATGGTCTGACCAGCAAGCTGATACTGATACTTTCAGGACATAAGGTTTGGATCAATAAAAATGCATTTTTGATGGGATAAAAACATGTCTGCACGGTGTTGATTCTCTGAGGTCAGTGCAGCAGACGGTTGGATGTATCAGGGGAAAGTCAGTCTAAAAGCAAACAGCTAAAGTCTGAGTATAATCAATGACGGGAGGCTGCTTCAGAATTAAACGCTCTATTGAAATACTGGCAAATATACAATTCGAATATATATTTTTAATGGCCATGGATGACTGCTCATGTCCTGGCGGTTTGGTCCAAGCCCCAATGTGCAGAACTGGGATGGGGGATAAATAATGCCAGCGTAATATATAATGCACTGTGTAAGACAGCTGAATGAATGCTGCAATTCCTCTCCTGCTCAGAAAAAAAAATGGAGGGTTTTGAACACACTGATGGACAAAAATGGGGCTGAAAGCAACAAATAGACTGCATCAATTTTCCCCACAGTTGTCACTTTTTTTTCGTGCAAACAAAAGCTGCCATCAGTACAATGAGTAATGCTATCACCAGAAAACGATTCGACACACAGCGGCTTTAAAATAAGTCAAATAATCTGAAAATTACGGACATAAATCATTGTCAATATAATGTGCAATACAATCTTTTACAGCTTGATTTTGGAGGATGAGTCAGCATTATAACCCTCCCCGACTACCGGCAGCCTGGATGCAGATGGTGGTTTTTTATTTTTTTTGAAGGTGGTGTCAGGATCTTGGGACAACATTAGCATCAGGAGCTGAAAGCGGGATTACAGCGCAGCTAACCGGACTGAGGAAGGGGGAATTAGTGATTTGTTCCTGTGTGGACACAGATAAGCGATACAGTAGGCGAGTTGCAGATTAATATTTTTAAACTGGTACACTACCTGGAACAAGAGCGCCCGGCTTAGGAAGTTTTAAGCCACATTCAGACTATTTTTGGTTTAATCGCAGAATAATGAATGGAAGAGTAGCGGATTACAAATATTATTACAATGGAGACGCTCTGGTTCATTCTGTCACAGTGACCTCCAAGGACATCCCTCTTATGTATCCTCAGGGTGTCAGGTCAGAATTATAGAAAGCACAAATCCACTGAAAACCTCTATACACTGTCTTGGTGTATGTTTTGAACTGCAATTTAAACTATTGGGGGAAAAAAATGGAGTGACGTGTTTTACGAGGAAAGAAATATATAATTTTGTAGTGTTTTTGTGTCCACCTAAATACAATCATAAAGCTTGGGCATTTACAACATCCATCCATCCATTATCTATACACCGCTTAATCCTCACTAGGGTCGTGGGGGGCTGGAGTCTATCCCAGCTGACTCAGGGTGAAGGCAGGGGACACCCTGGACAGGTCACCAGTCTATCACAGGGCTACACTTAGAGACAGACAACCAAGCACACTCACATTCACACCTACGGACAATTTAGAATCACCAATTAACCTCAACATGTTTTTGGACTGTGTGAGGAAGCTGGAGAACCCGGAGAGAACCCACGAACATGCAAACTCCACGCAGAAAGATTCCGGTGCCCTCATCGGGACGCGAACCAGCAACCTTCTTGCTGCGAGGCAACAGTGCTACCAACTGCGCCACCTTGCAGCCCACAAAAAGTTCAGACGTGTAAAATTAAGAAAAAGTACGTCACACTCTACAGCTATCAAATATGGGCTTTTTTGTGTAAGATTTCCATGAGTTGTTTCTTTCCATTGAGGTCAGATGACACTCAGCTGGATTTGATCGACTTGTCATCAGCGGCTTATTCAGGTAAATCAACATGCAGCCATTGTTCACCTGTTATATATATCTCTGCACCGGACGTTCTAGCAGAAAATTGCTCACTAAGCAGCATTGTGATGGAGAGAAACGACTCGACGTCAGAGATGGACTGAAAGTTTCTAAAGGGGGGCGGTGCACTTCACTCTAACTGGATCGCTTGTTTCCAAAGCCTGATCAGGCAGATTGAAAGTGAACACACCATCAGGAGATACATCCAGCTTTGCTCTATAGATACAGATTTGTTAAACCAAGAATACACAAATCAGCAAAAGCCCTGTTCAAAGAAGGCCGTCAGAGAACAAGTAGCATCTCTAAACCTATTTTAAGGAGGGGTCCACAGGACTGGACACTTTAGGGGGGCTAAGACATCCAGCAGAGAGCATGTCGATGAACACCTGCAGTCAATCGACTCCACCCCGACCAAGGGGAAGCAGCTCCATCCTGCTCCACCCTCTAGTAGAAAGATTCCTGCAGCAGGATAATGAGCCAAACACACCTCAAAGCTCTGACTTGAAGACCAAAGAAGACCAAGGAGAGCCGACTGCTACGAACTTTCCTCCACAGTCACCTGATCTTTACTGCACTTAACATTTATAGGGCACTGGAACGACTGAAGAAAAACATTCCTGACATGACGAGAAGCTCTTTGGAACATCAACAGATCAGGTTGGGACAACACGGTTTGAACCCACTGGTGGAGTTCATGCAGCTCAAATGCTGCTGTCATCAATTCATGAACATTTTTCAGATATTCAACTTCAAACTGACATTGTTCAACTCACATGATCAGCTATCAAGATACGTTTTGCATGTAAAATGTAAAATAGATTCATCTTCACCAGCGTTCTCAGACTTTTGTCCATTTACCTCCTTCAGCAGACCTCGCTAGTACACAGGATTCAGTAGCACCGAATGCAAGCATCAACTTTATTTCCTCACAAGAAACCTCCATAGAATGCCTTTAATGTTGGAGAAAATAATAAAAAAAAAATCTGTGAACATGTTCTACAAAAAAAACCCCCTCCTCTGCCTTTCTCCCTTTTAAGTCTGCAGGATTTCAGTGACCTTGGAGCACGTGGGACACTAAATGTGCAGTGTTTCATGAAAAGGCTTAGCTTGAAGGATCAGGCTGAAGTCAGAAGGGGTTCATGGGAGATCAATAAAAACCTTTAGTATCTGTACAAGGGCAGAGGTTTGAGGAGAAAAAGACTGGCATTAGAAGAGAGAACAAAATAGCGAGGGAGATAGGCGCGAGCTTACTTTTTTTTTTTTTTTTTTACCTGCTTGTCTGCCAAATGAAGGGTCACAAAAAGGGGATACCACACAATCTTACTTTGTGGGAGTCACTGGAGAGTTGGTATAAAGAGCAGAAAAGGAGGGAATAAATAGATGACTGAAGCTTTTCTTTTTTTTCTTTTAAACTTTTACAGCAATTGATTAGAAATGGTGAAAAGCAGACAGAAGAAGAGAAAGACCTTCTAGGGGAACTGTTATTAACCTGCCTGAGCCACATACTGCACTGAACGCACACATATCACTTGCACATGCTTTTCCACCTCTTCACCGCGTCTTAGAAGATCGGCTGAAGCAGACGATACGATAGCTGCATGGTGCATGTGAAAACGACATTTGAATGGGGCGTGTGTCCTGTGCGCATTTGCGATGGATTCTCCAGGGACACACACACAGCCTGTAGCACAAACTAGAAACACCGGCAGCACCGCTTCTCTCTTACAAAACTGTCAACTCACTCGACTGCATCGCTGCATAAATGCAAAGACAACCCATGTGCAACACTTCCAACGCAGTCATGAGACTTTTTTTTTCATATGCCTGTGGTCTGCACACCCCCATGGAATCTGTTGACATTTTCAACATGTTTGAACAAACAGACTTATGTCCTCTTGGATACAGTGCCGGGTTATAA